AACAATATTGGTCAAACAAGTAAAGACTAGACTTGCATTGCAAAGGAGAGTTCTTGGGAGATTTGATAATCCATCTCATACTACATTTGTCCAAGGAAACATTCCAAGTTGCATTATCACAACAAGATTTTCCATTTCAGATTATATGCATGCCAAATAGAGAGGGTAAAGAGAGTCTGCTTTCTTAGCTGAACTTCGGGCATCACTCATTCATGGGCAATTGGGCATTATTCACAACTTTAAAGAGGATTTTATCTTTATGTAAATCACAATATTCAAATAGGAAAAGTTTATGGGCCTTCTACAAATGCAAAAAAATCCAAAGGTAGAGAGGAGTAGATAATAAAACTATTGGAGACAGAGTAGTCATCTTTTTTGCACCTTGAAGAAGTTTCAATGAAAGGTGTTCGCTTGCCGCAACTTCGTTGAAAAAAAGACTGAATCACAAATTCATATTATAAAATACCATATGAAGAAGATATGGAATAAGAACAATAAGAAGATAAAAATGAAGAACATCGAAGACGAAGATACCAAAATAGAAAGACAAAAAAAAAAAACCAAAGAAGAATAAAGTAGAAGATGGAAACACCGAATCTGAAACCACGTAGATGAAATTGATATATAAGGAATCAAATAAGAACAGAGGAGAATAAACCAAACAAGAACGAAAAAGAAGAAGCAAGACGAGCAAATACGAAGAAGATCAAAGTAGATGATGAGTGTAGATGAGTGAATATAAGTGAAGATGAAGAAAAAACGAAGTAATTAGTATACTTACACTTCTACGGAGAAGATTTGATAATCCATCTCATACCACATTTGTCTAAAGAAGAAGCAAGACGAGCAAATACGAAGAAGATCAAAGTAGATGATGAGTGTGGATGAGTGAATATAAGTGAAGAGGAAGAAAAAACGAAGTAATTAGTATACTTGCACTTCTACGGAGCAGATGAGAGTTCAAGGGAGATTTGATAATCCATATCATACCACATTTTTCTAAGAAAATATTCCAAGTTGCATTACAAAAACAATATTTTGTGTTCCATATTCTAATGCATGCCAAACAGAGGATAAAAAGAGGCTGCTTTCTTAGCTGAACTTCGGGCATTCATTCATGGACATCTTTCACAGCCTTAAGGAAGATTTTATTTTACTGTAACTCACAATATTCAAATAGGAAGAGAGTACCAGCCTTCTACGGATGCCAAAAAATCCAAGGGTGGAAAGGAGTAGACAATAAAACTATTGGAGACAAAGTAATCATCTTTGTTGCACCTTGAAGGATTTACAGTGAAGAGTTCTCATTTGCCACAAGTTTGTTGAAGAAAATGGCTGAATCATATACTCAGACTGAAAAATGACATATGAAGAGGATATGAAAGAAGAACATTAAGAAGATAAAATTAAAAATTATCGAAGACGAAGATACCAAAGTAGAAAGAAAAAAAAAGACCCAAAGAATAACAAAGTTGAAGACGGAAACACCGAATAAGAAACCACGAAGATGAAATTGAAAATTAAGAATTAATCAAAGAAGAAAGGAGGAGAAGAAACCAAAAGAGGAAGCAAGACGAGCGAAGACGAAGAAGAGCAAAGAAGATGAGTGAAGATGACCAAAAAAACGAATAAGAATAAATAAAAAGAAAAAGAAGCTACCAATTTAGAACAAAGACGACAAGCCAAATTATAAGGTTTTTTTTTTCACAAGTTTCTAATACGGTTCACTTAAAAACAATGTTGGTTCAGGCTGATCATGTTGTCATAATATTGAAAAAGAAAAGTTTGGGATCTATTCTTATGTCGAATTTTATGAAGCAATTGACAAAACATATAAATATTAAGAAATGTGAGGATAGGGCTATTGTATGTTTTTTACAGAAAATACGTTTTTAAAAAGTACCTTACTTATTATGATTAATTATAAAATAATTAAATTGGTAAAGTAAAAAAATAATTAAAAAGTATATTACAAAGATAAGTTTATAAAAAAACAGCAAAAAATAAAAAATTGTGAAGCTTTGGAAGAAAATAAATTTAAATATAACAATTTAAAAAATCATTAGAACAGACCCGCGCGTGCGCGGGTTAAAAACCTAGTATTACATAAATTAGCCTTTAGTTAAATCAAAGAAAAAAATATATATTGTCTAAATTATTTTCTTTTTTATTTTGGAGTTAGGATTTAGGGTATATACATTTTATGATTATGATTCTTTGTTCTTAATTAGGGTTTCGTTTTTTTTAGAGTTTAAATTTTGGGTTTAGAGTTTATATTTTGGATTTAGAGTTTAGTTTTTTGGGTTTAGGGTTTAGGGTTTAGTTTTTTGTAAAATTAATGAGAAAATTATATTGAATGGCATTATAGTTATTTGCACTCTAGTTTCATAGTCATTTATAGTAAGTGTCATTCTCAGAAACCCAAATATACAAATAGTCAAAAGTTTTCAAAAATTCTTTAAAAAAGAAAACAAAAGACTAAAGACAAAAGACTAAAGACAAAAGACTAGAGACGAAAAAGTCATCTATTTTTTATGCTTGAGCATCACAATTCACAAGCATCACTTATATTGAGGGTTTAAGTAACAAGACAAAGGAAACAATGGATTCAATCAGAAAATTGTGAAATTGAGTTTTATTTCCTTCGTTCTCTCTTTCTTCTCTGTAAATCAGACTTTTGTTCATCAATGTTTGAAGATCTCTTCTCTTTATGATCTTCTGCAATTGAACTGGAAATTGTTGTTTTAGATTTCCCTTATCAAGTTCTCACCGTCACCGGCCCTCGCTGCAATCTCAGAACGTCGCCGGCGCTCAAATCGTCAAAACCAGTTTTGTTGGAGTTCTCTTTTGTATTATTCTGTTTTTAAGAACTTGATTTAATTTTAATTCAGTTTGTGATTTAAAATATAATTAGAACAATGGCATCATGTAATAAAAGGAAACTAGGGTGGTTTAATGGTCTTTATACACTAATTTGAGTTAGCATTTTTGGTTTTTAGCAATTTTTTAAGTATAAATTTTCCATCACTTCAAATTAACAACTTTTGTGTTGGATTTAAAATGTTTTATTCTCCCATCGGTAAAACCTCTTAGAAGAGTTAAAAAAAAAAAAGTTATATTTTCCAAAATTAATAATTTTAAACATAACAGATATAAAACCAAAAGCACTATCACAATGTAAACCAAACATCTAGTTACAATGGAAACTCTTGGTAACATGAAAAAAACGAACAATTGAAACCATGAAAAAAACCTGTATTTAGATGAAATGTAGAGAAAATAATGTATACCATAGAGAAAACAAGATAATGCAGCAGAGCATTTGGTTGCAGTCAAGTCTCATCATACTACAACGTTACAAGTTACCAACTGATTATCATAGAACATAGATAAGCTATTGACTCACTTCAGATCAGAAATAAGATTTTGTATCTACAATAACTACTATAATGAAACCCCAAGCAAAGATATCGAGCAAAAAATTGATATAACTGCCTCATCATGGAAACAAAAACCTTCTTCTATGAAATTATTCTGCATACAACGATAACAATAGTCCAATACTCTCCATCCGAAAATGTTTGAGAAAATCCTCAACCAAACTACCAAAGCATCATCATCAGAAGCTGACTCCTGCTGCTGCTTGGAAGAAATAGATTTCAATACTTTGACAGTTTCTCTAATTTGAAACTTTTTGGTTTCCTTTCTTCTTGCTTCTCATATCTCGTAATCCCATTCCTAGTCCTTGGACTCCACAAGGTAATGGACACAGCTCTTCTCCTCTTAGTTTTCCCTCAGATTTCTGCAACAACATATACCCAATCAGACAAAAATAATAGAAACCCAGAAATCTCTAAGTTTGAACTGAATTCAAAACATATAAACAGAGCTATTCATAACCAAAACTGGTATGGAAAGTTTGAGAATTTGTAGCTAAACACACATGATAAAGGAGTAACCTTTGAAGTCATCCAATGCGCCTGAGACACAAAACCACAGAGAAACCATATATCTCTCAATGATTCAATTAAGACAAAACTTTTCAGCAATCGTGATGCCTATCATAGACAACTACACAGAATTCCAGAAAACGCCTATCAAAATTCGTCACTGAATCGTGAAAACGTCCTATTGAGAAGCTTGTCTAAGGAATTGGTGATCATTAACCGTTCGAAGAATGGGATCATTAACCGTATCGGTGGAGAGAGAGAGACCGTTCGGGAGAGCGAGAAAGAGAAAGAAACACCGTCTCTTCCGATCAACAGAATCAAACAAGTTAGCTTCTCACCATTAAGCAAAAGCAGGCTCTTGGAAGAATCAAATCGGGAACAAGGCAATTTGCCTTGGTCGTATCGGTAAAGAGCGAGCGACAAAAACTCTGGTTTTTCCGATCGGAGGCTGGACGGAGTCCGATCGACGGAATCGAATCGGTTGGCACGTTTGGTGGAGAGGCGAGAGAGAGAGAGAGAAATGAGCGTTTTTTTTTGTCAAACTCGAAATTCACCACGCTTCAACACTTGTCGTGTTTTTAATTTAAGAGAAGGAGCTAATGTAAAACTCGGATTTAGTATTTTGCTTTGATTAAATCTTTTTCTAAATCAGTTATTTTCTTTAAAACCTTCTTTAAATCCTGCGATACAGATGCCCTTAAGCTCTTGTTTGCAGCTGCTAGTTCTAGATTAGTCTTCATGTGCTCGTTGATGCAAGTTCAGATTTAGTTTTAGTTTGATGTTGCTAGTTCAAGAATAGTCTTCATTAGCGTTTTAGTTTCTATACAGAGGTTTAGGTTTCATTGTCTCTTTATATGGTAATGTGCCTCTTTATATGATTTCGATTTTAGTATGATGTTTGTTTAGTGGTTCATTGTTTTCTTTAGTGGTCTCTGCAAGTCTCATATTTTGATATTAGTGGGCTCATATTCTGAATCATATTTGTCTGTGGGTTACTGATTCAATATCTTTTGTTTTGTTATTGTTGATTTTTTACAGGTAGGAGTAGATATGGCAGACGAGGTCGTCCCTGTCCCTCTCCGCCGGCTGGTTGCTTGGCACGCCAAGAACCTCGCCAGTGCAGCTTTAGTTTCGGTTTTCACCGGCTTCTATCTCGTGCCGATATTTCTCTTCTATTCGGGCGAGATACTTCATGCAGTCTTCGTAGAGAAGAACATCGGCGTTATCCTCTATCTTCTCTGCCTAGGCGCAGCGGGATGGTTCATCTTTCCGTCCGAGGACAGTCTCGAGAGTCTAGAGAGAGAGCGAGCCGAGCTTCAGCGTTTTGGACACGTGGCTCCCATGACTCCAGCTGATTTCGATCAGCACTTGCACTTTTCTTCCGTGCTGCCGCCATGGTCTTCTGCGCCGCCGCCATGGTCTTTCGCGCCGCCGCACTTTTCTTCCGTGCCGCCGCCATGGACTTCCGCGCCATTGTGTCCGCCATGGTCTCCAGCTTCTTCTGTTCCGCCATCATGGACTGGAAGCAGTCCGCCATGGTCTTTCGCGGATTCTCCTGCTTCCAGTCGGTCATCGTCTTTCCCCAATTTTCCATCATCTCCGGTGGATACAGCTTATCCACCATCGACGGATACGTCATCACGGATGGCGGCGACGGACATTAGTTTCAGCAATGATGATAGCAACATAGACACAAAGGCGACGAGGTTCATCGAGAACTTCAAGAGCCAACTCAACCGGGAGTTGTGACTTCTGAGCTATTTCTTAGAGAGTATATTTATATAGCTGACTAACTTTGATTAGTTATTGGTTTAATTAACCCTTTAATTATTTGGTTTAGTTATTGGTTTAATCAGTTAGTTTAGTTCAACAATATATAATCTTGATTTGTAAAAGACTGGACGTTGCTTTACGCGGAACTTTATATGAACGGATTTGGTTAAAAGAACTTTTCATGATATAAAAAAGTAACTATCTAGTGGTTACGATCATCATTAGCAAAATGTGGTGTATCTCATTTCTTGTTGAACGAATTACAGAGTAATTTTTTATACCTGACCTTTAGTTATTGAAATCCCTTAATTATATCTGGTTAGAAGTCTATCTAATCATGATTTCATGTTTACTGGCTTTCAAAACCCCTCTATACGCAAGAAAAACATATTCTTTTTACATGTAAGTATGGCATCACAAAGCAATTAACTGGACTGACCATTTCCCATCTGAAAAAACATATTCTTTTTACATGTAAGTATGGCATCACATTGCATCATTATTAACTATAAGTATTTAATGTTTTTCTAATTTAGATTTTATTGTTAACAGTGTAAAGCAAACAAAGATGCAAGTGTTTACATTCTACTAAAATACATTTTTTAAGAAATTAAGCCCTGATTTGAGGCAAGAGATCTTGAAACTAGACTCGTTCAACACTTCTGATCCCTGCGTTCTTGTCGAATTCCTCTGAAGGAACAACATCCGCAATAATCTGTTCTTGACCACGCCAAAGAACCTGGAGAAAAAAATTGGTTTCAAGCTTTTGTTAAACTCCAACAGAGACCAAGTTATGAGATAATCCTTAACGATATACGTTTATATTCTCAAGTAACGATGACTAATTCTCCGATCAAGAAAAATAAGAAGTTGCACAGGAAACTTGGAATTTTTTTAGCGTGATAGCCATCTGCTGACACTGAGAGTGAAACTTGACCAGGAGATCTAAACGATGATCATTGTACCTCAATCTCTTAGCACGTTCATACGAAATCAACATAGCAATTTACAGTGCTCAAACTTACCCTGTCAATGACTCCAAAATCTTTAGCTTTTTGTGCATCCATGTAATATGGCCTTCTCATCACATTAGCGACAGTCTCCAAAGACTAAATAACAAGTTCAAATATTTTGTAATCAGCCAAAAAAAATCCTCCATTCAATATTACTAAGCAAAAGAAACGTTTCACACTCACATTCCCAGTGTGCTTTGATAGAAGCTCCACAAGTATATCCCTATTTATTATGACCTGCCATTGCATACGACGGAAAATGAGAGACATGAAGTTACCAAACTCAGATTCTAGAAATCTCTGCCCAATCTATTAGAGTGATAATATAGGAACAGGGAAGAAAAGAAAGTAGAGCGATTTGTTAAACCTCTTTGGCACGAATCAGGACATCACTGGCAGGCATCAAACCAGAAGAAGGCACACGAGGTTGCTGGATCATAGCTGCAACATAATTAATCAAACATTTCAGAGGCTCTGATTATCAAAGCTGAGCCGTACAGGCGACCAGAGTGCAGTCGTGGTATACCTTTGGCATGTGGCATCATAAACCGTTTACCCTTGGTTCCTGCTGATAGTAACAGACAGGCCTGACCGATGGCGGCTCCGACACATACTGTATGTACCTGCACGAGTGAGAACCAACATGCTCACATGAAAACAACTTGGAGAGAAATGAAAAAGTGCTTATCATGATAACTGATCAAGTAACCTCAGTAGTTTCCTTTAGCATGACTTATTACTTATATGTTTACATTACAGATAAAACATTACCTCATTTTTAAGTTGCATCAAAGAATCATAGATCGCAAAGCCTTCTGATTCCATTCCAACCTGATTAGTGAAAATTTTTCACTGGAGGTTAGAATCAATCAATGAGAAAAAAACGAAATAAAGGAGCTTTATATAGTAGTTATCTATAATGCTTTATATAGTGATTGTTATAGACATATTAGTTTGTCGTTTGATGAATAGTCAACTGACAGACAGAAGTTGACAAATAAGAATTGATAAAGAATATCTCTGTGACACATTCGAGAGTAACATTTTTGGTTCTGAGATGACAAGAGACTACAAACCACGAAAGTCGAACGAATCTCTTCCTCCATTATGAATATCCATTCTCCAATCTGAATATTCAATTGAAAGAACGGCGATGGGGAGAAACAAAAAATAACACCTTGAAAACTCACTCATCAATTTTTAAGATGAACCCTGGTCTGGAGATCAATCCAGGTCCGAATCAATAGAGAATTTTCCTTGAGAGAGAACCCAAATTGGATTGAGAGAGGATGATAGAATAAGTAGAAATCAGGACCCAAAATGCGATTGAGAGAGATAATAGAATAAGTACAAATGGGTTTTAAATCGGAGGAAGAAGTAAAAATGCGATTGAGAAAAAAGGTCGATTTCGAGTTAGAAACTTGAAGGAAGGAAGAAGAAGAAACTTAGATGGGTTCGAGTGTTTGACGAAGAAGTCAGATTTCGAGATTGAAGAAGAAGTCGATTTCGAGATAATTAGACTGCTGAGGTGTAATAATAAAAAGCTGACTGGTATTATCCAAATGTTTTGATTGGATGGACGTATTTAATGACGTGTAAGATAGTCTACAATCTTTTGTTTTGACCAAATGTAATCGAGAATCTTCTTTCGATGAAAATACTGAAAGATAATTGCATCTTTTTTTCAAAAGCTGATTTATTATTCTATTTCAAAAAGATAATTGCATCTATTAAAGATTTTTTTTTTAATTTCTAACAGCCAACTTAGTACTTAAACAGAAACATAACAGCCGGACATACCCTTAAATTCAAGTTAAAGTAAACATTCATCTTATTTTCTTTGGATCTTTTAAATTGAACAGTTTCAGCTTTTTTTTTATCGAGAGAAAGTAACTCAAACAAAGAAATTAAAAACATGAAAAGGGATAGTCAGCAATTCGATTGATTCTCTCTCTCATTGGCGAACTGAAGTATGAGATCTCCCATAAAGCATAGATTAAACTCGTTCTCTACTTGCTGCGACACAAGTCGGCGGTCAACACAATTTGTAGTGGTCCCCATAATGGTCTATGATTCTAATATGTTTTTCATATGACATGACCCAGAAATAGCAAAAACGAAATCACTTAGTGAGACTAAATTAAAGAGGAGGAAGAGAGAAAACTGGAAGAGGGTCGTGAGAGAGAGAGAAAAAAGTGCGAAGAGAAAGTAGAAACAAATTGTGAATTTCGAGAAAGACGACGAACTCGGAGGATTGGAAACGAAGAGATATCAAATTGAGAATTTAAGAGAAAGACGATGAATTCGATGAAGAACAAAATTGGTTCATCTTGAACATCAGAGGGCTCTTATGGTACTTCCTATTCGCAGGAAACTGTGTTCGAGTCCGAGTCTAAACTTCATTTTCTCTCGAATATCAGAGGGCTCTTGAATTTTATGGCTTTTTCAAAATTTCTCATCTCTCTCTCTCTCTCTGCTCTCCGAGACGACTGCGACCAACTAAATCACGTTCTTCTCTTCACGCCTCCGCGAAATTGGTGAGCAATCATCATTTTTTCTTCTCCGCTCTCTTCTCTAAGAAATCACAAACTCCACAAATCACAAGGAAGTCTAAAACTCAATTTCCAAATTAACCCAGAATCTAGATAAGAGTACAAGACATATGACATGACCCACATCTTTACTAATTTGTTACTTATTTTGTTTAATATTGATTGTTCCATTTTTTCTATCTAATATGTGTATAATTATATTTTAGTATCTATCTATCAATATCAATAGAAAACCATACTAAAAGAAATATGTATAGAAAAATATTTAAAACGCTCGTTTTTTGCTAAACTATATCTAAATTAACGCTAAATTTTTGTAAAATATTATATAATAAAATTTAATCATGTCTTTATCACATAATACTTTTAATTTTCCATTTGGTTGTAAACTTACTTCTTTCATCTCTCTCATGTCACCTTGGTAATACTACACTCACAAATCATATAGATAATCAACAATCTTTTTCTCAAGAATCAAGAAGACACAACCTTTTTCTATAACTCTAGAGAACCCCTAAATCCTGTTTTGACCTCAAACAAAAAACCAAAAGCTATTGACCTGAATTCCTAGACAAAACGAGGCCTCGGGGATTGGAATTTCGGACGGTGTCCCTGCTTCTTGTTTTCAATCCGATTTCCAAACAGACTTTCGTTTGGAAACTCTACAAAAATATCTTTTTTTTGTTGTTGTGTCTTCTACTTACTCAAAGCAGCTATCAATATTCTCTATAGTCGTCCAAACAAATGAGTTTCATAATAATCATGTGTTTCCGAATACTTTAGTTGATATATTAAGCCAAGTTTACGAACTTCTACGGTGTTCCTTAACCTATTTTTGTTGTATATAACTAACATACGCCGCTACGCATAGTTTCCTTAGATTTGAACCTAGATTACGACATATAAAACAATAGGATTGAGCTTGACGTGATTACGTGATAAAACAATCGGATACAAATACCGTTTAGATTAAATTATTGATTTTAAATGCTATAAAATTTTGTTAAAACATATCTGGCGAATATCAAATCATTAAAACACATTTGGAGATCATTATTACCAATTTACCATTACCATTAAACTAAATATACGGACTATAAATTCTTTAGCTAAATTATCTTTTCACACGACCTACAAGTCAAATAAAGAAGTAATTGATTACAATATTTTTTTTAAAATATATTGAAATGGTCCATCTATAGAAACCCAGGAGACTCGGGGCCTCTGGTTCATGCCTCCTCGCTCTTCTTCTTCTTCTTCCTCTCCTCTTTTCTGTTGTTTTATTTTCATACAACGAAAAAGAAAATTAAATAGAGAGAGGGTCAATTTTCTTTCACTTTCTTTCTCCTCCTTATAAATCTGAGCAATGTTCAACACATAAGTGAATCCCATTGTATCACACAGCTTTGATTTTCTTTGTTCGATTTCCGGGAAAAAAAAATCTGTTTCAAGCTCAGAATTTCAAAACTTTGGGCTGTGCGATTCTCGATTCTAAATTTGGGAGCTGAGTTTTCAATTTCCCCAGGTTTCTTGTGGATCAAGCTAAAAGCATTGATCGATTCTTCTCGATTATTCAATGGCGACGGAGCAACAAGATTCGCGACTCTGTTTGGCATCGATTCTGGAGGATTTTCTTAAACAACGAAACGTTCAAGTTAGCGTCGGTGTTGATTCGAGCTCGAAAAATGCAGATGAAACTTGTATGTTCGTCAATTCCTCTGTTTTTCTTCTCTCCTTTTTGCTTCATTTTCAATCGGAATTTTCTGATTGCGAATTTCAGATACTAGGGATCGTAATGGATACTCTCTAATCAGAGACGGAATACATAAATTTAGGATGAGTAATTCTTATTCTCTGTATCCAAACACTACTTGACTTTCACGTTTGACCAATGATTTTCTAGAATTTACTTTTAGTTTGTTTGGTTATGATCTTAGTATTGACGTTTCTTGTTTTACTAGATCATCATCATTGACGCTTGACAAGAAACCTTGATGGTCTAGAATTTACTATACGACTCCAATTATTCGTCTTGTGCATTTCATATTAACTTGATACAATTGGTGTAGTGGGAGGAAGAGATTTGCAAGTAGATCCGTCAGACTTGAGAAGGTTTGAAGCAGCAAGATGGATAAGAAACACACTTGGTGTAGTTGGAGGCAGAGATTTGCCAGCAGATCCTTCAGAGGAAGATTTCAGAATTGCATTGAGGAGTGGAATTTTGCTCTGCAACGTCCTCAACAGAGTTAAACCTGGTGCTGTTCCAAAAGTACGTCTCATAACTATTTACTATTTACTGTTTCTGACTTTCTGCATACCTTTTCTTTCAAGATTATACTTTATGAATTAAATATTTGAAGACTTTAAAAACCTTTAGGCCTGCTCGGATAAAGTTGTGCAATGCATGATTAGTGCCATTTTCTGTAATGTTTTTTTAAGAGTTTCAGAAATTAGTATTTTAATGCCGATGCTTTTTTATTGTAAATTAGGATGACCATGTGTCATGAATCATGATGATCTCACTCTTGATTGTGTTGCTAACAAACTTACAGGTCGTTGAAGCTCCAAATGATCCTCTGGTTAATCAAGACGGTGCAGCTCTGTCTGCATTTCAGTACTTTGAGAACCTTCGTAACTTTCTTGTGGTTGTGGAGGAAATGGGTATTCCCACATTTGAAGTCTCCGATTTTGAGAAGGTAAAAAAACAAATCACAATATTATAAAGACACAAGACTATTTAATCTGATAGATGAATCCGATCACGGAAAATTATGGTATCTAGCAGACTAGCATGACAGATGAGGCCTAGTAGTGATATTGTAACAAAGGTAGGTTTGATGCTATCATAGATTAGGTTCGAATCAATTGTCATCGTAGTTATTCAAGGCAGATTGACCTACCTTGCCGGAGGGGCTACCTATACAAAGCTAAAACGGTTGGTCTCATATTTAGAGACGTGGTGGGGTCGTGGTCACCATCAGTGTTGGAAAAGAAATTATATGAGCTAGGAGGATAAATCAGTCATTTGCATTTTCTTTCCATCATTTTGGTTAATTTTCTTAACATTGAGACACGTTCTGTTTTTAGGGAGGTAAATCGGCAAGAATTGTGGAGTGTGTTTTGGCTCTCAAGTCATATCGGGAGTGGAAACAGAGCGGTGGAAGCGGTACGTGGAGATACATTGTGAACTCGAAACCAACCACGTTTGGGATCGGCAAACAATACAGACGCAAAGACTCAGAAGCACCTGTTGATGTGGTCACAAGTAGTAGCCCTTCTTCTACTCCACCGAGTGAACAACTTTTGTGTGATCAGTCTGATTCGAATACTAAACATGGAGTTAGTGAGCCATGCCAATGCCTAATATCATCATTAGTATCGTTTGAAGTTAAAAATTTTCAACTTAATATATTATTCATTTTTTCAGGGAAGTGACTATTCAATAGATGCCATTGTCCGTGCCGTATTTTCTGATAAGAAGCAAGAAGAAATTCCCGGTGTAAGCATTTCATTACCAAATGATTCAATATTCTTGTGAAATGCGGATTTAAGAATAATACTATGTTCTGCTCTTGTTTATTTCCAGATTGTGGAAGATATGCTGAGAAGTGTCATGGTAGAATGTGAACATAGATTGGCCACCCAATACGAATTGGTAAGTAATTTTAGTTATCAAAGCTATACCACGAAGATGTTTCTTTTACACCTTCTTTACACTTGGCATCTTGAATATGCAATTGTTTAAGCTTCAGATGAACAAACAGAAGCTTGACTCTGGCGATTTTGCGAGAAGTAATTCATGCAATGATGAGACGCTAAGTGATGCTTCGGTACGTTGAGAATATAATGTCTTTTTTTTAATTGCACCAAAACTTCAAACATTGTGTTTATCCAACTATATCACTCATGTTCTTTTCAGCACGGAGAAGAAAATTTGACAAATATTGTAAACAACAACATGGAAGCTTCTCAAGATGGTGAGCTCTATGCAATTTCAAAAGAGAAGACCGAGAAGCAACAAATGATAATCGACAGACAGCAAACTCATACTGAGGTATAACTACATTGAACACTAACAAATGTATGTAGCATTCTGTTTCTTCCAAGACATTCGGTGGTTATTAAGGCGGAATATATATATATATATATATATGTGTTTTCAGGAAATGAAACACGATCTAAAGGCTATAAAAGCAGGTCTCAGTCTCTTGCAGATGAAATACCAGCAAGAGTTTACAAGCTTAGGTGAGAATATACCCTACAACAAAATTTGGACTTTCACAGTAGGTTTTAACTGTTACTTGCTTCTTCTTGGGTTTAGGCAAGAATTTGCATGGAATTGCTTCTGCAGCTTCAGGATACCAAAGAGTTCTTGAGGAAAATCGGAAACTTTACAATCAAGTCCAAGACCTCAAAGGTAAAACATCTGAAGTTTATTGTCGAGTAAACTTTACTAGGATTTGCAATATCAAGACTAACGAATATAACAACAGGGAGCATAAGGGTTTACTGTCGAGTGAGACCGTTCTTGCCTGGTCAAAAAAGTATCTCAACTACAGTGGATAACATAGAGGAGTCAACTATATCAATTGCGACACCTTTAAAGTATGGAAAAGAAACTCAAAAATCATTCACCTTCAACAAAGTGTTTGGCCCTTCAGCATCGCAAGGTAATTTTCTCCCCTGTATATTAACTACTGGACTTCTTATCCTTCTTTTCAGTGTAAAGAATCTAAATTTGATCTATGAGCTCTTCACTTGAACACTTATTAGATTGTAGTAATTTTATGTCACATAAGAAGTTAACGTCTTACAACTTTGAATTTTGTAGAGGCGGTGTTTGCAGACACTCAACCTCTGATCCGCTCTGTTCTTGATGGCTATAATGTGTGCATATTTGCTTACGGCCAAACAGGATCCGGAAAAACTTTCACCATGGTAAATTTCTCCAAGTACTCAACTTAATTTGCAATGACTTTGAAAACAATTCTAATTTTCTGATGACATATAACCAGATGGGACCTAATGAGCTGACGGAAGAGAGCTTAGGAGTAAACTACAGAGCACTGAGTGATCTCTTTCATCTATCAAGTGTGAGAAAAGAAACGTTTTCATATAGCATTTCAGTCCAGATGCTTGAAATCTACAACGAGCAAGTACGAGATCTCCTTGTTACTAATGGCCAAACCAGCAGATATCCTTTTCTAAGACTTGTGACTTCTGTAAAGTAAAAAAACATGCACATTTTTCATCATCATTGTGGTTTATTTTCCTTGACTTGTGAACACATTAGAGATTCGAAACAGCTCACTAGATGGAATCAACGTGCCAGAAGCGACACTGGTTCCAGTCTCCACAACTTCGGATGTCATCTACTTGATGAATCTTGGTCAAAAGAATCGTGCGGTCAGTGCCACAGCCATGAATGATCGCAGCAGTCGCTCTCACAGGTACTGTTAGGTTTAAAACTGTATCTGTGAAGTCTCTAGAAAGTTTATAGCTGTGTCACTATTCTCTTACACATGTTTGTATGTATACGTTTTTACCTGAAGTTGTCTCACGGTACACGTTCAAGGAAAAGATCTGACATCAGGAGCCACTCTAAGGGGTTCAATGCATTTGGTAGACCTTGCCGGAAGCGAAAGAGTGGACAAGTCTGAGGTCACTGGTGATAGGTTGAAAGAGGCACAACACATTAACAAGTCTCTCTCTGCTCTTGGGGACGTCATTGCATCTCTCTCTCAGAAGAACAATCACATCCCTTATCGCAATAGTAAACTCACACAACTTCTCCAGGACTCGTTAGGTAAAATCAGTCATACTCAAATGCTAGACTAAAGAATCTTGTGTTTTTTTGTTCCATTTATTCTTGTCTTGCAAGTTTAAAAACAATGGATGTGTGTTTCTGCAGGAGGACAAGCGAAAACGCTCATGTTTATCCACATAAGCCCTGAAATAGATGCTCTAGGAGAAACACTTAGCACCCTGAAATTTGCAGAGAGGGTGGCCACTGTTGAGCTCGGTGCCGCTCGTGTCAACAAAGACACTTCTGAGGTTAAGGAACTCAAAGAACAGGTCATCATTTTCTCCAATACTTTGTCTTTTCAAATTGTTTTACTCTACATTCTCTGAGTATCAACAAGAAATGATACTATATATACTTTCAGATTGCTAGTTTGAAACTAGCTCTAGCGAGAAAGGAGAGTGAGGCAGATCAAACGCAGCAACCAAGACCACTTACACCTGATAAAATCCTCAGAAGGAAGTCACTTGGCGTTTCTTCTTCATTCTCTAAATCAGCAAACACAAGACAGTTCCAGACTAAACTTAAGCCGCCACAGACTATTGATGATGTCAACAGCATTGAGGTAAAGGGAACAGGAAAACTCACTCACATTTTTGTGTGCAGAGGTTACTTCATAATGTACAGTGAAATTTGCATGCAGGGTCAAAGTGACTCTGCATCCAGCGTTGACTTACAAGGACTAGTAGGTTCCCCTTCATGGAAAAGCCCGTCCATAGATGGGAAAGAAGAGGAAGTGGAATTTATATCAGGTAGTGAGTGGGTTGATAAACACGAGGACGAACTCACCCGTAATAAAAACAGATCAGCACAGACACAGCTTGATAGGCGACTGTCTAGCTTGAAACGTGAACCATCGAGAGGTTTAGATAAAGGATCTGAGGTAAGGAAGATTCCATACGAAGAAGAAGCCAACGAGTCTGATGAAACCGCAACAAGTGACTGCTCGGATACGAACATGATGTGGCAGTTGAATGTTCAAGTGAATATGCCTAGAGTAGCCTCTAACGGTTCTTTGGGTTCTTCAACAAAGCTAAAGAAGAGTCAAACAAAAACCAGTAGAGTTGTTGAAACCAAGTGAGTTTCTCTGTTTCTTTAAAATGATTAAATCTTTATGTATTTTTTCTTTTATTTTGCTAATATTTTGTTGTTGTTGATGATGGGCATAGGAGTATGATACCTTCGTTAATTCCGGCGCCTACAAGGAGATTATCGCTTGGAGCTATCAACTTACCAGGACAAACTTCCTCAAGGCATCATTCCACAGTAGCTGTGAAGAAGAGACAAGCTCCCAAGTCATAATAAAGATCATGAAAAGGAATTATAGAAACATCTTGTGAGTATTTTTTTGTTTGGTTTTGACTGGGCCCATTCATATGTGGTCATATATACACACGCCATATACAAAGAGTAGAGTACGTATTATGAAACCATAGGTTGAATATATGTCGATATGTTTTTGTTTGTATTGGTTGGCATTTTCTAGAATGAATATTCAACAAAGCATTTGTTCATTCTTGTTCTGTTTTTGGTTGTTGTAATGGATTGTTGATATATTGTATACTACTTGTGGACAATGAGGTGAAATACATTTTTCTGTTTATATAACCAATTCAATATTAGCTCAAAAATGATATTTGAGTGGGAGTTTGACTTTAGATGGATGGAGATGTAAAAACTGCTACAAGTAAAATAGTCAAATATGTGGTGGAATTGTGGATTATCTACCTAAAAGAAAGTGGCACTTTTCGAAGGGTAGTTACGTCATTTTAGCTGATAGAATTAGCTGTACTACTACTCTCTCTAACACCCGCGTCGCTTTTTTCTTCCCAATCTGAGAAATCACAAACTCGGCAAACTTTCGTCTTTCTTCTTCTGTTTATAAGCTTTTTCTTCACGCGGTTCCTCACTGATAATCTACATTCCATTACCGGAGAATCTCCCCGGAGAAGCGGCGACGACCTCAGCATTATCTATGAGCCGTCTTTTCTGTTAGATCTACTGTGTATGCTACTGAGATTTCTATTTTGGTGAGTCTCATGGTTTCTGACCAGCGAGGTAGCTCAATAATAGTCAATAGTGTTCTTTTTACTGACTGTGCTGTTGCTTTGCTTGATTCTTTTTCTGCATCTCTAAAAATAGCCAAATGCTGGAGATTCTAGAATTCCGTAGATTAGGGTTTTTCCTCTACATTTTCTATTTGTTTGGTTCGATTCACCAAAATGAATGTGTTTATATATGAGTAATTCCCTGGATGCCAATTTATTTCGGTGTATGAGAATCGGAGTTTTTGCTCTAGTAAAGTAGAGTAAAGTGGGTTAACATTTTGTTCTCATTTTGTTCCTTAATTTGTAATTTTTTTTAAAATTGGACTCAGTCGCATGCATCTTAGTATCTTCATCAACTAATTTTTTTGTTTTTTTGTTTTGTGTTTGTCTGTGATGAAGAAGGATTTTTTTAGCCAATGCTGAAGGGTAGAGCCTAAAATGAGCGAGTCAAAAGCGAAGCATTCGCTTGTTCCTCTTGCAACCCTGATTGGTAGGGAGCTGAGGAGCGAGAAAGTAGAGAAACCTTTAGTCAAGTATGGTCAAGCTGCTCTCGCCAAGAAAGGAGAAGACTACTTTCTGATTAAAACCGATTGTGAGAGGATTCCTGGTGATCCATCCTCAGCCTTTTCTGTTTTCGGGGTAATTGTTTCTGTTGACTCTTCTTTTGTAAAGCACAGTGTTCTGAAACACACAAACTCTCATATTTTTGTTTTTGTCTTCAGATATTTGACGGACACAATGGTAATTCAGCTGCCATATATACCAAGGAACATCTTCTAGACAATGTGGTGAGTGCAATTCCTCACGGCGCAAGCAGAGAAGAGTGGCTTCAAGCTCTGCCTAGAGCTCTAGTTGCTGGCTTTGTGAAAACGGACATTGAGTTTCAGCAGAAAGGTCAGCTCACTGGCACTGCTTTAAAGGCTGTTGCTTTCATATTCTTGTTTTTCAAGCATGCTCTAACGGTTAAGTTCTGTTGTGCTTACAGGGGAGACTTCTGGAACAACGGTGACGTTTGTTCTTATTGATGGTTGGACTATCACTGTCGCTTCTGTTGGCGACTCACGCTGCATATTAGACACTCAAGGTGGTGTGGTTTCTCTACTCACTGTTGATCACAGGCTGGAAGAGAATGTTGAAGAGAGAGAACGCATCACTGCCAGCGGAGGTGAGGTTGGAAGGCTCAACGTTTTTGGTGGCAATGAGGTATATGATCATGTCCAGTAAATTTTTAAGTTACTGCTTCATTGTGGTTTGTTGGTCTTGGAATTTGTCATGATGTTAATGTGTTTTCATTCTGATGACGGAATAGGTCGGTCCACTTCGATGCTGGCCTGGTGGTTTGTGTCTTTCAAGGTCCATTGGTGATACCGATGTGGGAGAATTCATTGTCCCAATACCGCATGTTAAGCAAGTCAAAGTAAGCCCCTCTCTTCCCCTTGGTGGTGCATTTTTCGTCAATGGTTGTATTAGACACTGAACAAAATGTGGTTTTTTTATTTGTTCATTCAGCTTTCAGATGCTGGAGGGAGACTCATTATAGCATCAGATGGTATATGGGATATACTGTCATCTGATGTGGCTGCCAAAGTTTGTCGTGGTTTATCTGCCGAGCTTGCTGCTAAACTTGTTGTTAAGGTTGGTGATTGATCGAATTCTGTTGTACAGCGTCTGCTATAAGTTCCTCTTCATTCTCTGAATCATATATGAATCTTCAGGAAGCACTGCGAACAAAAGGGTTGAAGGATGATACTACATGTGTAGTTGTTGACATAGTTCCATCTGATCATCTTGCCTCGGCTCCAGCGCCAAGAAAGAAGCAGAACGCATTCGCCTCGTTGCTTTCTAGGAAGAAACATACAGATTCCAATAACAAAAACGGGAAAAAGCTTTCTTCTGTTGGAGTTGTAGAAGAATTGTTTGAAGAAGGTTCTGCTATGCTTGCAGATAGGTAATCTCCGGACATTTCCAAACTCTTACCCTTTTAGTAATTGAGAAACACAGATACTGATTATCAGTATAAACTTGTGCAGATTGGGAAAGGATCTTCCGTCGAATACGGACAATGGGCTCTTGAAATGTGCTGTGTGCCAAACTGATGAATCTCCGGATGAAGGTTTATCAAACAACGGGGGTCCTATCGTCTCATCAGCATCTAAGCGATGGGAAGGTCCCTTCCTGTGCACAGTATGCAAGAAAAAGAAAGACGCAATGGAAGGCAAAAGAGCAAGCAAAGGTTCAGTGACCACTTGAAGCCACTTTTGTCTTAATATCTGGTAGTTACTCGTTTATTTATACTGCCTTCTTCTGGTTTGCTGTGAGATATAGCCTGGTTTTGTGTGTTCTTTTCCCTGGCATTGATTGGAGAAGTATCATTAATAGTAGAAGTGTATGCAAATGTTTGTAGAGAGAGAGAGAGAGAGAGGATAGATCCAATTCTTATCCATTGTTTATGATTTGGCTGGTTTGTGTTCTCGGCTTTTGCTGAACCTTCAGAGATGTGGTTTTGTTTGGGAATTGCTGATATGCTAACACAAGTCTCCAAGCTGTAAGTAGAATTCATATTTGGTTATTGTTTAATCCCATTCCACTCTTATCGTTTTCCTAAACACAGACTTCTTTCCAAACGACAACATTCATTGTCGGAAATAAAGACCCCCAAAAATATGTCATTGGAAAGAAAGGAACAAGCACCTGAAATTGAGAACACAGACACTCTTTTTTGTTTGTTAGACCAAACATTTTGTCGCCCAAAGAAGACCACACATTTTACGGAAATGGGCCTTTGGGTCCAAATTGGACAGTACTAATTAGAACGCCAAGCATTGCTCTATATGTATGACTCATCATCGGTCATCGTTTCCGTCTCGAAAACACATACAAAAATAAACATATTACTTGAGAAACAGAGCCATAGGATTATGACCAAATAATATTCTCTGTCTTCAGTTGTGAAGAAGAAGAAGGATGATGTTACCAGAAGTATGCGTCGCGAATATCCTCTCCTTCACAACTCCGGCAGACACGTTCTCGTCGGCGGCTGTCTCGTCGGTTTTCCGGGTCGCCGGAGACTCTGATTTCGTGTGGGAGAAGTTTCTACCGTCCGATTACAAACTCCTCATCTCTAGATCGACTGATCATCATCATCGGACTTTCTCCTCCAAAAAAGAGATCTATCAATGTCTCTGTGAATCAATTCTCATCGATCATGGCAGAAAAGTCAGTATCTTAACTTTGTTGAGTTTCTATAAAAGTTCTAAATTTTACTCTCTTTTTTTTTATCTGTTTGTTTATCATCAACTTCAGATTTTTAAGATCGAGAAGCTTTCCGGGAAAATATCGTATGTTCTATCGCCAAGAGAACTATCCATAACTTGGAGCGAGCAACGAAATTACTGGTTTTGGAGCCGTCGATCAGATTCAAGGTCATTTTATTTAATGAATAGAAATAACATTGGTCAAAACAAGTAATTCCTAATCATTTGTAAGTTTTGAATTAATAGATTTCCAGAAGGGACCGAACTTATAATGACAGATTGGTTAGAAATCAACAGAATAATCAAAACCGGAGCTTTATCGCCCAACACAAATTACGGAGCTTATCTTATTATGAAAGTGGCGCCACAAGCATATGGACTAGACTTAGTTCCGGCTGAGGCATCGATAAAAGTGGGAAATGGTGAAAAGATAATAAAGACAACTTATCTAACTTGCTTGGATAACAAGAAACAGCAAATGGAGCGTCTGGTTTACGGACAGAGGACGGCAATGACTGCGAAGGACGAGGCTGTCGGCGCTCACCGGAGGGAGCCAGAGCTGAGAGACGACGGGTGGATGGAGATAGAGCTCGGAGAGTTTCAGACGGGACGAGGCGGCAAGGAGGAGGAGGACAAGGAGGTTGCTATGAGTCTAACCGAAGTTAAAGGCTATCAGTTGAAGAGTGGGATTGCCATTGATGGGATTGAAGTGAGGCCTAAGCAGTCCCGACAAAACTAGGGACTAATTACGATGAGTGCCAAATTTCGGGTTTAGGTGGATAATTGTGTTTAGTTGGGTCAAAACTGATGGACGAGAAACAATATTGGTGGCTCGGTAAAAAACTAAAAACTATGCATGTAGATATAATAAATAAAATGACTGATCGGATGGGATTGGAGTATGGGTGAAGAAACTGATCATTGTGTTTCGTTTGTTTGGGTGAAAAAAATATGTAAAATGAGAAACTAGTTTATCGGTGATAACTGATTGAATCCCCCCTTATCCTAGTTTTATTACATTGTTTTATTACGCATTTAGACCAAAATGTTCGCATGGGCGAATTTTATTGTAAAATATAGCATATTTTTTTGTTGACAATGATTCGAAAGAACCAAAAATGTTACTCTATGTGTCACAGAGATATTCTTTTCTTTATCAATTCTTATTTGTCAACTTCTGTCTGTCAGTTAACTACTCATCAAACGACAAACTAATATACATGATTAGAAAAAAGATAAATCAATCATTCGAATATTTTATCAAATATTTCTTGATAAAAAGTAATTCGCCATAAGTTTACTAAACCAAATATTTCTTGATTTTATAAAAAAAAATATTTGCAAAAGTAGTAGATAGATGGAGCTTTCTATGTTTTTGGTTTTAAAAAAATGGAAGTGGAAGATAATAATAATCGAAATGTGTAAAAAATGGGAAAGGACGTGTGTATATATGGTCAATGCGTTGATAGTGTGAGGAAATGTCGTCATTTACATATCGCATGAGTCATGACCTGAGGATGAGGACATTGTTACATCACACGCGCCCCATACCGAAATTTGTGTCACCAAATCTAATGCAGGTGGCATATTTTGGTAAAGACAACGTTGTTGACAATGACATATATCGTGCAAGCACATGAATTGTAGTACTATTATTATTACACAACACCTAATAACTCGAATACAAGCCACATTTTCCCTTAATTCTGTGCCATGTACACTTTTAGTAGTTTTTTCTTCATTTTTCTGTTCCTTCGAGAACTTTGTTATGCATCATTCTACGAAGATTTAAATCTGTGTGATGACCTAATAAACAAAACTAGCAAACATCAGTATTACGCCACAGATTTGATGTTTAGGATGTTCACAGGTCATAATCATATTTATCTCATACCAGAATTGAGCACTTGATCTGACTTTTCTTCTCAAATGTAAAGAAGGAAATACGCAAGTTGAGAACGTGTGGATCAATATGCTTATACGGAATTAGCAAAATACTGAATTAGAAAAACTGTAACCTTAGCCAAGGTTGATGTTGATGTTTGCTCATAAAACAGAGACATCAAATAGTTGAAAACAAAGCTAAGGCTGATCCGGACAAAAGCTCCATAAGTTTAGATAAAACATAAAAGGAGATCATAAATATCTCTCCCACACAGTGATTCACATGACAATTTGACTTCATCCTCAATCTAGCCGCTCCATCTGCAAACAAACAAAAAACAAGCAATTCAGATCCTCTAATTGACACGATGAGACTGCTTGGAATGTTGAAAGTAGAGAAGTGAGAAAGAGGCGATAAGTACCTTCCAGAGACCGTCGTTGAGGTAATGCATGTTGTCCACTCCGATTCCTTTGTTGATGCTTTTTCTGTGAGCAAAACACAAAATGGAAATCAAGATTCTATACTTTGGCTTACATACTTATAAAGCATATGTGAAGAAATACTAAACTTACATGTCTTTGGCTGACATTTTGGTGAAGCCTATCGCTAAGGCATGTTGCTTTCCTTCTGCATATATGGCCTAAGCAAATACAGATACATGTTTTAAGATCAGCAGAAACAATCAAAATATCACCCAACGAAAAGAGTGTTTTTTGTTCATACCACCGGTCTTTCTGTGTCGACTTCTTCATCCAGGACGCCTCCAGGGGATGTAAGACCAGGACACATAATGTTTGCACCAGAGAGAACAAACTTTATGGCACCTCTATCAACCTGAAACCTCTTCATTATGTTTGGGTCTGCAAAACACCAAACAAACATTCAATTGCCAAACTTAACTCGGCTAACTGATATTTTCTATAGTTTTCATTCAAGTATGTGAAAATTACAGCAACGCAGAGTTTTCACGAACATATTTTAACTCTTTCATAGCCAATGTCAAAACCTTCTAACTACAATCATACATTGACCTTTTACATATATCAGTGGCATGAGAAAAGCCAAAGGAAGAGCTTACAGAAACCAAAACCCATAAATGCCAAGCAACTCAATGAACATTCTTAAGTTATTAACCAGGTAAGTTACTGCAGACTACAGTACAAGTAACAGGTGACTATATTGTTTGTTAAAATAAACACCATATAGCATGGATAGCGTGAAAGGAAGAGAGATGTTACATTGATGAAGAAGCCGCAGTGTTGGCATGTATGGCCCGTCACGGATACAGAAGAAGAGCGGGACATTGTTGACAACAACTAGGGTCAGATGGTTTGGGCTGCACGAGGGACAGAGTCAGGAATACTGTAAGAAACTGAAAGTCCTAAAAAGAAAATTCAGGATAGTTTAAAGCACTGATATATGAGTTTGTTCTATTACGAACCACTTCACTACGATGAGAGGAGACTTTTTGGGAAGTAGATCCTCCAAAACTGTTTCGAGATCCGGGTACTGCCACATTTACATAAACATGATTATATTTCTAACAAACTACACGAAATAAAAAAGAAAAAGTTTTTACAGGAATAAACGACGAATGAAACAAGAGGCATACCTCATCTTGAATACTCTGGCGGATCCTACGTTGAACAGATGCCTTTACTTGGTTTTGTGATGAAATCTCCTCCAAACAAAACCTAAGTTAAAAAATTAGTGAACATTAGTAACACAACCTTCACAGACATACTGATCTAGAGGCCTGTCCTCTTATAAAAAAAAGGGACGACCCAGTAAAGCTTGATTGCAATAGAGAATTAGACTTCATACAGAGACTGATAGGAAGGTGTAACAGTGAAACCTACAGTAGAACTAACTACACTACTCACAAGCTACTGCCAACATGAAAAGATCGATTGACTTATGCTTAACGGCGACTGGAACCAGTCCTCTTAATAAGATGATACAAATATGAAAAAGAGTTGATAAAAGAAACTAGAAATAGACAGAGGTTCTTACTTCTTGAACATGTTCGAGGAAAGGTATTTTCTTTGGAACAAGAAGAGTCGATGCGACTGAGGATAATCTTCAACACTAACTATGCTTTTTTCCCTGCAAATGGAACATTGGAAGTTGTTAATACTATGCATCATGCTATAAAAAAATATGGAATTCAAAAACACCAGCAAGTTACTTTCACAGTCACTACCGATAAAACCAAATTCAAAGAAAAAAACAATCATCGGAAACTAGCTGAACATAAATGCAACCGCGACTTCTGAACGGATTTGAGTAAATTGAAACTGAAATCGGAAATCACAATAACAAAAACCAAACTTTGATAAGTGAACTAAAATTTAAGAGGATATCGCACAAATCCAATAGGATAAAACAGAAGTTCACGTCTTCAAATCGAACACTGAAAACAAACATAAACAATAATTGGAACAGAACAGGATCTTACGGTCGTCGGCGAAGATGGATAACGGAGAAATGGACTGGGCAGAGGTAGTGATCGGCGAGATAAACGGCGATTTGAGAGACGAGAGAGAGAGAGAGAGAGAGAGAGAGAGAGAGAGAGAGATGTAGTGATACGAGAGAACGTTTCTCTCGAAAAATCCTAAAGAGTTTCGATCTAGTGTCCTTTTGTGGCAAAACGACCAAAAACGACAGTGTTTTGAAAAACCTAGGAACTGGATGAAAAAGCTGAAGTTACTTTTGGGCCTTATGGCCTGTTAACAATTCAGCCTATGCATGACTAAACACTGTTTAGAAAATGCTTTTGTGGTTACAAAATGAGAAAGCATCCAAGTTAAATACTGCAATTCTAATTTTGTGATTTTGTAAACCAGAACACAAGACAAAGGCTTAACTGACAAAACAGACAAGTGAAGTCAGACATTCTGTCCAAACACCTAAGCTAAAAACAACTAGTTAATTTGCATCCAACAAGCCTATGAATTTCATCGTTTGGAGATCGCTTTTCCGTTCATCCGACACTGCGATTTGGGTTACAACATAGCTCCAATACGTTTCTATGTGATTAATTTATCACCATTCGAACTACAGATTTCTTTAGTAAGAGACTTGAATAGCAAGGCACATATATAATTAATAATTAACATATATAGACTTGATAAGAATGAAATAAGAGATGTTCGAAATCAAGTTCCACGTTCAGTTAAGTCACCTACATTTGTTCTTGGACAGCAAAATTCGAAATGGAATGCGACAAATCATGGAGCTTTCTTATTAACCAATTTCAAGCAACAAGCGTGTTTAAAGACGAAACTCAAGAAATCTTTCTCTTCTTGTTTTCCCATGTAACCTGAATACTCAAAAGTTTCTAGACTCCTCAAAAAACATTCAGGAACAGAGCTCTGTTTGCTTTCCCAATTCCCCAGTTCATACTTCTCACGTATTGGACGCCACTGCGATTAAAAAAAACGAGAGGGAGAAAGATAAGAGAGTCAAGATCACACCATAAAGTTCTTTCACTTGAAACCTGTATAAATGAAGAAACTTACATAGACGTATAGAATGAGGACTCTCAGTTTAGGAGAATTTCCGAGCAACCAGATAAGAAACTTGGACCAATAGTCGTTGCATACATCTAGCTTCAAATGTTCAAGCTGGTTGAAGACAATACCAGCTGGATACACAAACTGCACACACGTGACACGACAACGTAAATAACACAATCATACCAAAAAGACAACCTCGAAGCTGACAGATGGAAACAGGTTACCTCTTCCACACTGTTGAACGATGCTACACGTAATCTAAGACGTCTGACAAATGTGATTAATTCGAGAATCTTCTCGATATCTTTCTTAACATCAATTTCTGCCTCTTCGAGCTTTGTCATAGGCTTGAGCAAATACGTGGGAGAATCTCTGCAATCCTTAATTCTGAAATACTTCAAAGAAGGGGTAACTATCACATTGTCACTCCCATCAGAAGAACATTCTTCACCTATCTTTAAAGATAACCACTTCAAAGATGGGACATCAACGACTAACGCTCTCACATTGTCACTCTCATGGCTTCGTTTAATAAGAAGAACTTCAAGAACAGGGCAATGCGATAGAAGCAGCCCAAGAGAATCTTCGTTGGAGTATTTCACACGTTTAAGTTCCAACGTCGTCAAGGAAGGGAGACAAACAGTTTGAGGAACATCCACGGCAATGTTCTTGCCATCAAGTTTCAAAGTCATGAGCGAGACGCATGTATACAGACTAATAGGCAACGATAATAATACTCTACTTCTGAGAGCATAGCCGTTTTTGAGAAGATAGCGGATACTTAGCTCACGCAAGAAGCGAGAAACCGCAATATCAACCCATAGTTTGATTTTCTCAGGCTTTAGTAATCCAAATACGATGAGCAAGCTTTCAATGACCGGAGCTCCATGCAATTGTAGATTCTTGTCAATAAATTCCACATACCCTTGACCAGTGAGCTCATACTTAGGTTTAGGTAACCACATCCAAAGAAACTCCCATTGTTTCGACAAGATACTAGTCGAGACAGCAACTTTTAATGGAAGAAACGATATTATCTTAACCAGCAAATCATCAGACAACTCACAGATGCTCCCCATATCGTTGCAAAAGATTTTGTTACCGTCGTCACGTAGAGGAAAGAGACGAAACCCTAGAAAAGCAAGGCATATTATTGTTAAATTTTTGTTAATTTTTTTCTTAAAGGGTGTATAAATATCATTTACAAAGTTTAACAAAGTCATATTTTAGTTACTTCAATTTTTCTTAAAGGGGTATATATATTATGTACAAAGTTTTAATAAGAACATATTTTTGTTATTTTTTTTTAAAGAGGTTTATATATCATATACAAAGTTTTAAAACCTTTTTTAGAGATATTGATATTTAGTGGGCATTTGTTAACAAATATTTTTAGTATATGTATAATTTTAAATAATTATTACATTCTAAAGTAAGTGTTTAAGGAAACACTTAAAACTCTTATCTCGTGAAACAGTTGCGTCACAAAGCCACAATCCAATTCCAATTTCACAAAAATTTGCCCTAGATTTGATATCGATCAAGACAGCTATGGTTGAAAAACTCGATTATGTGAGTTTAATGAATAATTTTGCGGCTCAGAATCCAATGAGAGCTATATTTAAGCTATAAGAAATCAGTTTTTTTTATATATCTTTTTCCCAAACTATTTACAAATTGGGAATTGTTTATTTAGAACTTATTTATTTATGAAGTTTTAAGGGTTTTTATTATATTTTTACTGTTTTGTGATTTTGGATTTTTTTTTTTGAAAGACATACTTTTTATATGCAAATAGGGCATTTAAATTTATTGGAGTGGATGGAGAAAGAGACTTCAGGCGGGACTGGATGGAGAAAGAGACTTCAGGAGACTTCATGCGCGACTGGATGGAGTGGGAAATCCAGAATTTCTATTCGTCGATTGAGACTTCAAAACTCGATCTTGTTTCCGAGTTTCCACAGAGGTCGTAGTAGAGCTGTCTTCAGGCGCGACATTCTCTTTATCCTCACCTTTCTTAACGGAAACAGTTTGTAAACAGGTGAAGTTTGCACGGATTAAGACGACTCAGGTTCTAAATCTTCTTCATTTTTCGTTTAAACTTATTTTGTTTCCCTTAAATGTACATTTTCTTTTTGTTTTATTATGTTTGTTTGTATCTCGTTTTGAAGGCTACGTGTTGCTCACTTGCTTGTTGTGTTTTGGAAAATCGGCAAAAGACAATGGCCGATTGGAAGCAGGAGAATCCGCGAGAAGATTGTTACATGCCGCCGGAAAAGATTGTAGATTATATTTGGTAAAACAAAATTTTTGATTATCTATGTGATTTGTAAATGTTAATATTACTAAAGTGGGAATGAGAGAGACGAAGAAAAAAGTTTACAACCAAATGAAAATAAGATAAATATTATGTGATAAAAACATGTTTAAATTTTCTTATATAATATTTTGCAAAAAAATTTAGCATTAATTTAGACATAGTTTAGCAAAAAACAAGCAAAATTTATGTTTTAAATATTTTTTTATACACATCTCATAACTAAACCAAAGAAAAAAACAAATATAGTCTCTAACTTTTACTTTATACGCGTCTTCTTTTATGCAGGTTCAGTAAGGAAGAGAAATGTTCCGTTTTGAGGAGGATAAATGTTTAATAGAGAGAAAGTAAACTAAATCCCGATCAATATCGGCGAAAATCCACAAGAAGGAAAGGACAAATTGAACAAAAATGGAGGGTAGATGAAGGCGTGCTTACCAAAAGGAGCAAATCCTGTTCGGTGATCCCAGCTTCCTTGGTGCAATAGAGGTGCAATAGAGCTTCGACTGAAAATTTCCGTAAAAGAAATTTCAAACTAAAATATTTTTATAGTTTTACAATTTCTGAATCTACTTTCGTAAAATTACAAAAAAATACCTTATTACTTTTTACCAAGTAGAAATATACATTATTGCTTTCATCCTTTTACCACTTTCATATAATCGGGTAGATTAGAAATGAGTTGTATCATTTATTACATGGTCCTTTCCGGTTAAATGAGTTGTTCTTCTATCTCTTTTCAACATTTCACCTCACAGCTGGTAATTGTTAACAGAGAAATTTAAAAAAAAAATAATTTCAATACTAAAATCTAAAAACCTTTTATCATATTATTTAACTTATTCAGAAGGGGTCGACCGGGATAAATTCGTATAAATAGAGGTCAATAGTATATCTTATATATAATAGGAGAGTTGCTCTCTCCATCTAGACTATCCACATCACCAAAAAAGTTCATTAAATTGTTTTTAAGATACTTAATACATGACTATTCATATTTCTTTACCTATATTTATATTTTTAAATATAAATAAAACTAAGAAAAATGTACAGCTAAATTACTTAATTAATATAAAGTATGTCATAACTTGATGTTAAAAGTTATCAAAAAGTTTGGATATGTGTAAAAATATATTTAACTTGAAATGGTATATATTTACCTTTTTATTAAAAGGATTCATCCTACTTCAAAATGTTATGATATATTTACAAGTTAAAAAGTTGAATATAAATTACTTTTTGGCCTTATGGCCTGTTAACAATTCAGCCTACGCATGACTAATCTCTGTTTAGCTAGTATAAAAGACGATCGTAAATGCTTTTGTGGTTACAACTTACAACAAATGAGAAAACATCCGAGTTAAATACTGCAATTCTAATTTTGTGATTTTGTAAACCAGAACACAAGACAAAGGCTTAACTGACAAAACAGACAAGTGAAGTCAGACATTCTGTCCAAACACCTAAGCTAAAAACAACTAGTTAATTTGCATCCAACAAGCCTATGAATTTCATCGTTTGGAGATCGCTTTTCCGTTCATCCGACACTGCGATTTGGGTTACAACATAGCTCCAATACGTTTCTATGTGATTAATTTATCACCATTCGAACTACAGATTTCTTTAGTAAGAGACTTGAATAGCAAGGCACATATATAATTAATAATTAACATATATAGACTTGATAAGAATGAAATAAGAGATGTTCGAAATCAAGTTCCACGTTCAGTTAAGTCACCTACATTTGTTCTTGGACAGCAAAATTCGAAATGGAATGCGACAAATCATGGAGCTTTCTTATTAACCAATTTCAAGCAACAAGCGTGTTTAAAGACGAAACTCAAGAAATCTTTCTCTTCTTGTTTTCCCATGTAACCTGAATACTCAAAAGTTTCTAGACTCCTCAAAAAACATTCAGGAACAGAGCTCTGTTTGCTTTCCCAATTCCCCAGTTCATACTTCTCACGTATTGGACGCCACTGCGATTAAAAAAAACGAGAGGGAGAAAGATAAGAGAGTCAAGATCACACCATAAAGTTCTTTCACTTGAAACCTGTATAAATGAAGAAACTTACATAGACGTATAGAATGAGGACTCTCAGTTTAGGAGAATTTCCGAGCAACCAGATAAGAAACTTGGACCAATAGTCGTTGCATACATCTAGCTTCAAATGTTCAAGCTGGTTGAAGACAATACCAGCTGGATACACAAACTGCACACACGTGACACGACAACGTAAATAACACAATCATACCAAAAAGACAACCTCGAAGCTGACAGATGGAAACAGGTTACCTCTTCCACACTGTTGAAAGATGCTACACGTAATCTAAGACGTCTGACAAATGTGATTAATTCGAGAATCTTCTCGATATCTTTCTTAACATCAATTTCTGCCTCTTCGAGCTTTGTCATAGGCTTGAGCAAATACGTGGGAGAATCTCTGCAATCCTTAATTCTGAAATACTTCAAAGAAGGGGTAACTATCACATTGTCACTCCCATCAGAAGAACATTCTTCACCTATCTTTAAAGATAACCACTTCAAAGATGGGACATCAACGACTAACGCTCTCACATTGTCACTCTCATGGCTTCGTTTAATAAGAAGAACTTCAAGAACAGGGCAATGCGATAGAAGCAGCCCAAGAGAATCTTCGTTGGAGTATTTCACACGTTTAAGTTCCAACGTCGTCAAGGAAGGGAGACAAACAGTTTGAGGAACATCCACGGCAATGTTCTTGCCATCAAGTTTCAAAGTCATGAGCGAGACGCATGTATACAGACTAATAGGCAACGATAATAATACTCTACTTCTGAGAGCATAGCCGTTTTTGAGAAGATAGCGGATACTTAGCTCACGCAAGAAGCGAGAAACCGCAATATCAACCCATAGTTTGATTTTCTCAGGCTTTAGTAATCCAAATACGATGAGCAAGCTTTCAATGACCGGAGCTCCATGCAATTGTAGATTCTTGTCAATAAATTCCACATACCCTTGACCAGTGAGCTCATACTTAGGTTTAGGTAACCACATCCAAAGAAACTCCCATTGTTTCGACAAGATACTAGTCGAGACAGCAACTTTTAATGGAAGAAACGATATTATCTTAACCAGCAAATCATTAGACAACTCACAGATGCTCCCCATATCGTTGCAAAAGATTTTGTTACCGTCGTCACGTAGAGGAAAGAGACGAAACCCTAGAAAAGCAAGGCATATTATTGTTAAATTTTTGTTAATTTTTTTCTTAAAGGGTGTATAAATATCATTTACAAAGTTTAACAAAGTCATATTTTAGTTACTTCAATTTTTCTTAAAGGGGTATATATATTATGTACAAAGTTTTAATAAGAACATATTTTTGTTATTTTTTTTTAAAGAGGTTTATATATCATATACAAAGTTTTAAAACCTTTTTTAGAGATATTGATATTTAGTGGGCATTTGTTAACAAATATTTTTAGTATATGTATAATTTTAAATAATTATTACATTCTAAAGTAAGTGTTTAAGGAAACACTTAAAACTCTTATCTCGTGAAACAGTTGCGTCACAAAGCCACAATCCAATTCCAATTTCACAAAAATTTGCCCTAGATTTGATATCGATCAAGACAGCTATGGTTGAAAAACTCGATTATGTGAGTTTAATGAATAATTTTGCGGCTCAGAATCCAATGAGAGCTATATTTAAGCTATAAGAAATCAGTTTTTTTTATATATCTTTTTCCCAAACTATTTACAAATTGGGAATTGTTTATTTAGAACTTATTTATTTATGAAGTTTTAAGGGTTTTTATTATATTTTTACTGTTTTGTGATTTTGGATTTTTTTTTTTGAAAGACATACTTTTTATATGCAAATAGGGCATTTAAATTTATTGGAGTGGATGGAGAAAGAGACTTCAGGCGGGACTGGATGGAGAAAGAGACTTCAGGAGACTTCATGCGCGACTGGATGGAGTGGGAAATCCAGAATTTCTATTCGTCGATTGAGACTTCAAAACTCGATCTTGTTTCCGAGTTTCCACAGAGGTCGTAGTAGAGCTGTCTTCAGGCGCGACATTCTCTTTATCCTCACCTTTCTTAACGGAAACAGTTTGTAAACAGGTGAAGTTTGCACGGATTAAGACGACTCAGGTTCTAAATCTTCTTCATTTTTCGTTTAAACTTATTTTGTTTCCCTTAAATGTACATTTTCTTTTTGTTTTATTATGTTTGTTTGTATCTCGTTTTGAAGGCTACGTGTTGCTCACTTGCTTGTTGTGTTTTGGAAAATCGGCAAAAGACAATGGCCGATTGGAAGCAGGAGAATCCGCGAGAAGATTGTTACATGCCGCCGGAAAAGATTGTAGATTATATTTGGTAAAACAAAATTTTTGATTATCTATGTGATTTGTAAATGTTAATATTACTAAAGTGGGAATGAGAGAGACGAAGAAAAAAGTTTACAACCAAATGAAAATAAGATAAATATTATGTGATAAAAACATGTTTAAATTTTCTTATATAATATTTTGCAAAAAAATTTAGCATTAATTTAGACATAGTTTAGCAAAAAACAAGCAAAATTTATGTTTTAAATATTTTTTTATACACATCTCATAACTAAACCAAAGAAAAAAACAAATATAGTCTCTAACTTTTACTTTATACGCGTCTTCTTTTATGCAGGTTCAGTAAGGAAGAGAAATGTTCCGTTTTGAGGAGGATAAATGTTTAATAGAGAGAAAGTAAACTAAATCCCGATCAATATCGGCGAAAATCCACAAGAAGGAAAGGACAAATTGAACAAAAATGGAGGGTAGATGAAGGCGTGCTTACCAAAAGGAGCAAATCCTGTTCGGTGATCCCAGCTTCCTTGGTGCAATAGAGGTGCAATAGAGCTTCGACTGAAAATTTCCGTAAAAGAAATTTCAAACTAAAATATTTTTATAGTTTTACAATTTCTGAATCTACTTTCGTAAAATTACAAAAAAATACCTTATTACTTTTTACCAAGTAGAAATATACATTATTGCTTTCATCCTTTTACCACTTTCATATAATCGGGTAGATTAGAAATGAGTTGTATCATTTATTACATGGTCCTTTCCGGTTAAATGAGTTGTTCTTCTATCTCTTTTCAACATTTCACCTCACAGCTGGTAATTGTTAACAGAGAAATTTAAAAAAAAAATAATTTCAATACTAAAATCTAAAAACCTTTTATCATATTATTTAACTTATTCAGAAGGGGTCGACCGGGATAAATTCGTATAAATAGAGGTCAATAGTATATCTTATATATAATAGGAGAGTTGCTCTCTCCATCTAGACTATCCACATCACCAAAAAAGTTCATTAAATTGTTTTTAAGATACTTAATACATGACTATTCATATTTCTTTACCTATATTTATATTTTTAAATATAAATAAAACTAAGAAAAATGTACAGCTAAATTACTTAATTAATATAAAGTATGTCATAACTTGATGTTAAAAGTTATCAAAAAGTTTGGATATGTGTAAAAATATATTTAACTTGAAATGGTATATATTTACCTTTTTATTAAAAGGATTCATCCTACTTCAAAATGTTATGATATATTTACAAGTTAAAAAGTTGAATATAAATTACTTTTTGGCCTTATGGCCTGTTAACAATTCAGCCTACGCATGACTAATCTCTGTTTAGCTAGTATAAAAGACGATCGTAAATGCTTTTGTGGTTACAACTTACAACAAATGAGAAAACATCCGAGTTAAATACTGCAATTCTAATTTTGTGATTTTGTAAACCAGAACACAAGACAAAGGCTTAACTGACAAAACAGACAAGTGAAGTCAGACATTCTGTCCAAACACCTAAGCTAAAAACAACTAGTTAATTTGCATCCAACAAGCCTATGAATTTCATCGTTTGGAGATCGCTTTTCCGTTCATCCGACACTGCGATTTGGGTTACAACATAGCTCCAATACGTTTCTATGTGATTAATTTATCACCATTCGAACTACAGATTTCTTTAGTAAGAGACTTGAATAGCAAGGCACATATATAATTAATAATTAACATATATAGACTTGATAAGAATGAAATAAGAGATGTTCGAAATCAAGTTCCACGTTCAGTTAAGTCACCTACATTTGTTCTTGGACAGCAAAATTCGAAATGGAATGCGACAAATCATGGAGCTTTCTTATTAACCAATTTCAAGCAACAAGCGTGTTTAAAGACGAAACTCAAGAAATCTTTCTCTTCTTGTTTTCCCATGTAACCTGAATACTCAAAAGTTTCTAGACTCCTCAAAAAACATTCAGGAACAGAGCTCTGTTTGCTTTCCCAATTCCCCAGTTCATACTTCTCACGTATTGGACGCCACTGCGATTAAAAAAAACGAGAGGGAGAAAGATAAGAGAGTCAAGATCACACCATAAAGTTCTTTCACTTGAAACCTGTATAAATGAAGAAACTTACATAGACGTATAGAATGAGGACTCTCAGTTTAGGAGAATTTCCGAGCAACCAGATAAGAAACTTGGACCAATAGTCGTTGCATACATCTAGCTTCAAATGTTCAAGCTGGTTGAAGACAATACCAGCTGGATACACAAACTGCACACACGTGACACGACAACGTAAATAACACAATCATACCAAAAAGACAACCTCGAAGCTGACAGATGGAAACAGGTTACCTCTTCCACACTGTTGAACGATGCTACACGTAATCTAAGACGTCTGACAAATGTGATTAATTCGAGAATCTTCTCGATATCTTTCTTAACATCAATTTCTGCCTCTTCGAGCTTTGTCATAGGCTTGAGCAAATACGTGGGAGAATCTCTGCAATCCTTAATTCTGAAATACTTCAAAGAAGGGGTAACTATCACATTGTCACTCCCATCAGAAGAACATTCTTCACCTATCTTTAAAGATAACCACTTCAAAGATGGGACATCAACGACTAACGCTCTCACATTGTCACTCTCATGGCTTCGTTTAATAAGAAGAACTTCAAGAACAGGGCAATGCGATAGAAGCAGCCCAAGAGAATCTTCGTTGGAGTATTTCACACGTTTAAGTTCCAACGTCGTCAAGGAAGGGAGACAAACAGTTTGAGGAACATCCACGGCAATGTTCTTGCCATCAAGTTTCAAAGTCATGAGCGAGACGCATGTATACAGACTAATAGGCAACGATAATAATACTCTACTTCTGAGAGCATAGCCGTTTTTGAGAAGATAGCGGATACTTAGCTCACGCAAGAAGCGAGAAACCGCAATATCAACCCATAGTTTGATTTTCTCAGGCTTTAGTAATCCAAATACGATGAGCAAGCTTTCAATGACCGGAGCTCCATGCAATTGTAGATTCTTGTCAATAAATTCCACATACCCTTGACCAGTGAGCTCATACTTAGGTTTAGGTAACCACATCCAAAGAAACTCCCATTGTTTCGACAAGATACTAGTCGAGACAGCAACTTTTAATGGAAGAAACGATATTATCTTAACCAGCAAATCATTAGACAACTCACAGATGCTCCCCATATCGTTGCAAAAGATTTTGTTACCGTCGTCACGTAGAGGAAAGAGACGAAACCCTAGAAAAGCAAGGCATATTATTGTTAAATTTTTGTTAATTTTTTTCTTAAAGGGTGTATAAATATCATTTACAAAGTTTAACAAAGTCATATTTTAGTTACTTCAATTTTTCTTAAAGGGGTATATATATTATGTACAAAGTTTTAATAAGAACATATTTTTGTTATTTTTTTTTAAAGAGGTTTATATATCATATACAAAGTTTTAAAACCTTTTTTAGAGATATTGATATTTAGTGGGCATTTGTTAACAAATATTTTTAGTATATGTATAATTTTAAATAATTATTACATTCTAAAGTAAGTGTTTAAGGAAACACTTAAAACTCTTATCTCGTGAAACAGTTGCGTCACAAAGCCACAATCCAATTCCAATTTCACAAAAATTTGCCCTAGATTTGATATCGATCAAGACAGCTATGGTTGAAAAACTCGATTATGTGAGTTTAATGAATAATTTTGCGGCTCAGAATCCAATGAGAGCTATATTTAAGCTATAAGAAATCAGTTTTTTTTATATATCTTTTTCCCAAACTATTTACAAATTGGGAATTGTTT